ATTGGACCCTGGACTCATGCAAAACTAATTTAGTCCAGTTTCGAGATCATTGAATCACTTACGCAACCTTATAATAAACTATACTCATATCAAAACCATATTGCAATGCAAAAACCTTGTGTACATGTATATATAAGACAGTGAACGTTTATGCACACGATGGAACGACTCATGGGCGATGGACTAAATATATATATTAGGGAGCAGAATMTMTGTGTTTTGGTGTGTATCTAATATTTACAAAATATATATGTATCATATCGTATTAGGTTGTYCATATATTATTTTCCTGTTTCAKATATTTCAACATATTTCACGATTTTATATAAACGTAACTCGGTGTTTCGTGCTGTTACTGACAGTAGTTTACATTGTCTCCGGACTCCTGTCTATACCCTTATCTCTTATGAAAATAAAAAGTTACTTTAGCCCGTACTCTATTATCTAAAAAAAATATCAAAAAGGCGTGTATGTGTGTGTACTTTTCATTCAAATTAAGGCACGGATGTGGCACCGAGCCGTATGTTTCACAGTKATACAAAAACTGCTCTATATTGAGTATTCTCCAGTTCGCTCCCGAATCCCGAGAAGCAAGTAAAACGCTAACTATGACTTATTGAACCAGTCTTTCATATATATAACCGTTTCATTGACTGCCTGGCGTTTAGTCATTTTCTGTTATTCTGCTAATGTTTTTATATTTTTTATGTTATTTTTTTCTCCTTCATGTTTTATATATTTTGTTGTTTTTGTCGCAATACGAATCTCGTCCGCCGTCCGCGGTCCGCGGTCCTGATTTTTTTCTATCTTCTAGCTATCATTCTTATCTCATGATCTTCTAGTGATTATTTCAAGACAATTCAAGTGTTGTCTATAGTGGAAGTCGGTTATTATATCATGCATTTTTGTCCAGCAGCTTCTGACTCGCACGAAATAATTAAATATATGATAAAGATAATTAATTGTTCATCATTTTCCCGTGACAATTTGGATAGTTTATCAAAGATATTATGACGGGTTTGTACAGAATATACAAAATGAGTGTATATAACTTCAACTGTTCAATAAATTGTGATAATTAAGCATTAGCAAATTAAGCATTATTTTTTTGTGCTCCTCAACTGTATTATATATTATATTTAGCTCTTTAGTCCGACTCGAAGTCTGACTCGAAGTCCAACTCGAAGTCCAACTCGAAGTCCAACTCGAAGTCCAACTCGAACTCGAACTCGAATTCCAACTTGAGGGTTTATGTCTCCCTGTCCGGACCGAGTATCAAGTGGAGCTCCTTGAATCTCTACTTGTAAATTGGTAATGAATACTCAAAGTACATAGCCTCACAATTTATTCATAACTTACAGCGGAAATCGTTGCATCGCGACCTCTTTGTTTTGAAGTTTGTCTGGATTTTGTTCTTTCTTTCAATCTGAAGGCCGGAGCTTTTNAATAAACAAGCGAAAAAAGGCCAACTTTTTGGGTTGTTTCCCGATTCTGCTTCGTTTCAGTGCAAAACCAGCACACGTTCCTTGCGCAACTTGTTTTCTAACAGCGAAAAGGACTATCAACACTTCTTCAGTAGCATTTGGCAAAGAGACAAATTCTCTTATATTTAAGGATAGTAATGGGAATACGATCAATACCTTTTAATATTTTATGCCTTTAAAGGAGTTTGCAACTCTCATAAAAGTGTTTCTTCACGAAGTTGAAGAGGAACTTGAGGAACAGTCCAAACTTGCTGAAGACGAAGATCTTACACAATTTTTGGAGCGTGCTCGTTCAAATAGCACATGGTCAACAGCCTCCGCTGAAGACGTTCTGCAGATATTTAATCGCCAGCTAAGCATTAATCGAAGCTTCCCCGATGCTAGCACCGATGAAGGTTTTATTAGTCAAAAGTTTACACCAGTTAGAAATAGCCAGCGATCAAGCTTTCGTAGCAATTTGGAACCTTTCAAAAGACAAATGAGTATTGATTCTGCCCCAAGATCCAGCTTTCGTAGCACTATGGAGAACTTTAAACGGCAAATGAGCACTGATTCAGCTCCAGATCCCGATGTTTGTCCCACGCCACATGTTCCGGAACAGCCCAAAGAAGATAATGACGTCCCTAAGTCACGTGAAGAAGGTTAGTTTGTCTATGGATAGTACATTCCTTAGTTTTCTGTATAAATATTTTGTAGTAACATTCCATACCAGACTTTCTGCTCCCAATGTTTTCGGTGTTAAAGTGGTCTGTTTGGGTCTGTGGGAATGTTTTGTCCGAATCCATGTAAAATGTACTTATGCTTGCGGAGCTGGGGATGCACGGGCCCTAACACAAAATATTTTGGGGCCCCCACATAACATTAAATAACTCATAGTTTTTGTCATAGCAAAATGCATTTTCGAAATTCGATGTGACATCTTCACTATAAGTCTATAATTGTGCCCCCCCCCCCAAAGTCAGTTTTGGCTCCGGCGACCCTGATGTGTACTTTTTCCTTGCCCTCGCTCAATATTTGGTAAGCCTGGCTGTATGCAGCTTTAATTATTGTAAAAGATCAAGGTCAGCTTCTGAAGCAATTACTTTGTTTTCAGCTGGTAAACTGACTCAATCAGAAGATCGTGAAGAAGGTTCAGTTAGTTTAGCAACATACGGCAAGTACTTCAAAGCAGCGGGAGGTAAGAGTGCATGAAATAGCACATAACACTTAATATGACGCACAAAGATGGTTCTGTACCAAGCTTAGCCCGTTAAAATCATTAGGCGTTGTGTAAAATGTTCATTCAACATTTGGGTGACTGTACGGGCTGCATCGGGTTTTGTCCAGTCATTCTTCTTCCTGTTCCTAAATAATTGTTAAGGATCTTCATCTGCCTCATGCTCTTTTTGTTGTTGTTTTAATCGTTTGCCTCTCGGTTTGAAGGTTTTATCGTTTGTTTTCTGGTGTTTCTGTTTTTCTGCCTCGCGCTGGGTATTCAAACATTCACCGAGTCCTGGTTGAGTTACTGGCTTGACTCTGCAGCTCGKAAGGTATGTAATGATCATGTGGTATATTGATCGCATCCTCTGACTCTTTAGACCCCAGAGGACTTAAGGTTTCAAGAAAATACGTCGCCACTTTACTTTTAAATCATTCCAGACCCAGCTCTTAAACTGGTCTTTGTATTGAGCTTTTCATTCAGATTTCAACTTGTATTTTTGCATCAACTCCTTGTTGACTTGATCTTCCATGTTCAAGGTGCAATTTTCATTCCTAGGCCGTTTAGTTTCTTTTTCTTGCACCTGTCGTTTATTGAACGTTTACTAGTATTTTTTTTTTGATGCACATGGATTTAAACAGAGACGTGAAAAAGCATAATTATATGATAGTTTGTCTGTTATAGAACGTTATGCATTTTAGTGTGCAATAGGAAGGATCTGTATCACAACCAGTAATTCAAACGCAATGACTGTWAATAAATTTATGAAATTGTGRTGCTTTTAGAATTTAACTACCCCAGAAAAGTCTGGTATTCGTTCTGACAATCCCGACAACAACTTCTACATAATGGTATTCTGCTTGGGCTCACTGGCTTTCCTTCTGGCCTTGCTCTTGAAGACTTATGTCTTTGTCAAGCTAACCCTTAAAGCATCTTCTAAACTCCATGACCGTGTGTTTGCTAACGTGATGCGAGGAACCATGGCATTCTTCGATGTTACTCCAACTGGACGAATACTAAACCGGTTCTCAAAGGATTTAGACGAGATCGATGCACAGCTACCATGGACTCTCGAAAGCTTCACACAAAACGTTTTACGTATCATAATCTCAATTGCACTTGTAGCAGTTATGTTCCCATGGTTCCTTGTTGCTGTAGTTCCATTGATGATKATTTTTTTCATCTTGAATAAGTATTTTCGACGATCGGTGCGCGAGCTGAAGCGCTTGGATGGTGTTACTCGGTCGCCTATCTTCACGCATTTGACTGCTACTGTACAAGGTCTGTCCACTCTTCACGCGTTTGATAAAATGGGGGATTTTAACAAAACATTTAAAGTCCTGGTCGACAACAACACTTTGCCATTCTTTATGTATTTCGTTTCTAACAGATGGCTGTCGGTTCGTCTCGACATGATCACTGTCACCATTACTTGTGTAACAGCTTTGCTGGTGGTACTGACAAAAGGCACGTTACCTGCAGCTTTCGCTGGGCTTGCCTTGTCCTATGCAATTAGGGTAAGTGTAAATAAAGTCAAAAAGCATAAACAAGCATTTGATACAAGTATGTCAACACAGAACGTCTTTTTGTATCCAGATTACAGGTCTTTTCCAATTCACTGTACGTATGGCAGCAGAAACCGAGTCCAGGTTTACAAGTGTTGAAAGGATGGCTTCTTACATTGAAGCTGTTCCCCTCGAAGCTCCGGCAGAAATCAAGGAGACAAAACCTCCAAATGAATGGCCGCAAAATGGTACAATCACATTTAACCAAGTCAAGGTAGGGAACTTCAGTTTTAGACAGAAAAAGTGTTACCATTATGCATCATGTTATGAAATGATTCAAGAGGATTATTCCAATCTTGRTAATCTCTGTCACGTGGCTTTAGATGCGATACCGTCCTGGTCTTCCATTGGTTCTCAACAATGTGACTGGCTATATCCATGGCAATGAGAAGATTGGCATCGTTGGACGGACTGGTTCAGGGAAGTCATCTCTTGGGATTGTATTATGGCGTCTTGTTGAAAATGCAGCTGGCACTATTAAAATCGACAATGTTGATATATCAACAATAGGTACGTCGCATTGAATAATTGCAATGATAATCACGACTGGTTTTAGAATTCAACTATAAATTATTTTATRTTTGMATTGTGAAAAATGACGAGAGTCTTGTGCAAAGGACCATGCGTTGCTTAGAACGCTTTGGGGAGAACATTAAATACGATGTCTTCACTTTGAAGTGTGCTGCAAAGATATTCTCGACATTCACTGGACAACGTTAACTGATCTTGTAAATAAARTTGGACCATCGTCATGATACTTRGTAGATCAGTTTTCTAAGATATCCGCKATCTTGATACTTATATCAKTACCAMGCTGCATTGCGCCAAAACAGACAATACACGCTTAGGAAAAACGACCATAAGATGAATTGTGATGGCAATATGATAATCCATTTTGTCCTTAAACTTATAATAGTAAATATCATATGATTCAGGTCTACGTGATTTACGCTCAAGAATTTCTATTATTCCTCAAGACCCAGTTCTCTTCATAGGAACCATCAGGTTAGCATATTCATCTCTAACATATTGGTATTACACAATGAAAAGCATTCTCGTGTAATATACAGCACCCGGAGGCGTACTGAACACTTTGGGGTTGTATAGATCTTAAAAGTATAGCTATCATGTTGGAACTATGAGTAATGAGATTCTTAATTTTGTTATTTCAGTTGTTTTTATAAAATGCTATGCTATATTGTGAGAATAGTGTATATTTGTTGTGAACCCTTATCAAACAAGGGGCTATAAGGTGCTAATAAGAGCATGCAGGCGTTTTGTACTGATATTTGATAGCTCAAGTCATCTTTATTCACATGTAGATATAACCTTGATCCTTTTGGGGAGCACCCTGATGAAGCGATATGGACTGCTCTGGAACGTGCTCATCTGAAAGATATGGTAAAGATCTGACCGTTGACTGGACTGTTTTGCATACCATTCACCTTTCTATCCATTCATTTTATCATACTTTTAGGTCAGCAATCTACCACTTAAGCTGTTGGCTCCAGTCGTTGAAAATGGTGAGAATTTTTCTGTTGGTGAACGACAGCTGATTTGCATGGCACGAGCACTGTTGAGGAATAGTAAGGTTCGTTTAATTCTAGTAATATTCGTTTACTTTAATGTAGACAATGTAAAACAATGAGTATAACTATTAGTATTGCCATACTAGTGAACTATTGCAAATCCTTCGTTCTGATTGGCTACGCTACTTGGAGTCTATTTTCAGTAGTCCTCGATTAGCGAAAAGCGACAACTTTTTACGTATTTTTATCAATGAAACCATCTAGTTATTTATATATTTCATTAATTTTTTTGTCCAACTAGTATGGTAATACTTCGGCCTCGTGGGCTATCAGCTCGTAGTCCACTCGGTCTAGAGATCTAATTGTTAAATAAAAACTGCTGTATTATGTTTTAGGTTCTCATGCTTGATGAAGCCACTGCTGCTATCGACTCAGAAACAGGTAACTTAGTTGTGCTATAATCTACCACTGGGCAATCATCTTCACACTTACAGACTCCAAGTTAATTGTTTTAGCACTCCTTACAGCAATTTTTTAAATTAACTCTAAAAAAATTTAAAATTCAAAATCTTGATTTATAAAATAAAATAACTGAACACATTTGAAAATGTTCGGCCTACAGTTATCAATGGTAATGAATCGATGCCTGAGAGAGCAACTACAATATAGGCACCTCTCTATATAAATCTCTTTGTGATTGGTAGGGCCTCGTCCTTAGTTCCCTTGTACTTTTTGTTCTTTAAGTATAGTTTAAAACACGAGAGAGAGTGTTTTATCAGGTATAAAGATTCGAGCCTAAGGCGAGAATCTTTATACCTGATAAAACACTCTCTCTCGTGTTTTAAACGGCTTAAAAAACTCCAACACTAATTTGAAACTCAAATCCGTTAAAATTCTTGGAGAAATTGTCGTACAAATATGTTCAGAGATAAATGGGGCAAACTGATCATGCGCGAATCACTTTACAAAGCACTCTTGTCATCCCACATTGAATACGCATAAAGTAAAATAGAAGCGCTCTTGGCAGTTCACTGAAATCGGTTGACATCCTGCATTGGTCAATGATCAGGTTTCAAACCTGAGACCTTTGCTAGGGTCATGGACCTTTATATCTGATAAAGGTCACCCTTATTAGTATTCTTTATATAAAGAATACTAATAAGGAGTGTTTTATCAGATATAAAGGTCCATGCATGTGACCAAATAGGCTCATTCTATTGGCCTAGTAGCTCATTAATTATGTATGAGTTTTTTAAGAGTACGTAAAATCGACTCGACCAAATTCCTTATTTTTCAGATGCGAAGATTCAAGATACAATTCGAGAGTCATTCAGCAATTGTACACTTCTCACAATTGCCCACAGACTTAACACAGTGTTGTCAGCGGACAGGATCATTGTAATGGAAGAAGGAAAGGTAAATGTGTATTCAATCAAGATTTTTTTATTAGTCTAGAGACTATTACGTGCTACCCTCTCAAAATAAAAGACTTTATTTTATTTATTTTTATTTTATCATACGTAGCAAGTCAATTTCTGAGATATTTTTCAGTACGAATTCTGCCAAGCAAACTGCATTTTTCTTTCCGAAGTTCTTAGTCCAAAATGTTTTCTCTCACAAACAATTGATATCGCATTATTATGCCAAACGTGATTAATAAAAAAGACAGRTTGTTAGAATGTGTTGAGACCGAGTAAGCTGACAGAAAGCGGGAAAATATTAAATTCTTGACGCGCGCGCAGGTAATGTGATGGCCAATAATTAAACTTTTACGGCTGGTCATCCAATCAGAATACTGGTACTGTTTAAATTATTTTAATGAATTTGTATGGTGCATGGCATAACGAATGAAATTGTCTCATTCATGCAAGCCAGCAAYATAATTGCATTTTTACWTCCAAAATCAGCAGCTTACATGAAGGTTCATTTTCAGATAATCGAGTTTGAGTCACCATCCATGCTGGCTATTGATCCAGACTCACATTTTAGTAAGTTATTACAAGCAGCAGACCTACAAAAAGCGCAAAGTGCCGCTGACAAGTCTCGCTCCAAGCAGAAAACAGAACAGCACTTGAAAGTCCCGGATGACCCTCCACATAAAATTGAGCAGGATTTCGAAGCCCCGGATGATGCCTCACCAGCTAATACCATTGTCCCAAAAATTACTCTTGCTCAGTGCGAAGACGATCTTGAGGATACCCAATTTTGAGTGTAACAATTCAATATCATAAAACGACTTGTAAGAGTAAAGAGTGCTAATGTGACTAAAGAAACTTAGAATACAGAATGAGTATCGCTACTTGGGTACCGTAGATGGACCATTTGTATTGTGGACGTGATCGGGACTGATTGAAAGCCATGATGGTGGAATGCAACTAAACGGAAAACCCGTGACGCTAATGCTAAAAATATAAATTTACAATTTTATGTWTATTATATAATGTGTGTATAGCACTAATGTATAGCACTAATGTATTCATGTACTAATACCGAGCTATACATGTCAACCAGGAGGAGCCAACGTAGTTTGTTCGTCTAAATAGCTGTTCTTGTACGAATTTTCCAGGGAAAGGGGTTTTGAGCTACATTATATACTGATAATCTCACAAGMAAATGTGGCGCCCTTTCTTCTTTAAAATAAATTTGTTCCTGGCAAACGTTTTTAATGTCAAAAAAGGCTTACATAACATTTTTATGGTCAAAAACGGCTTATATTTATTTTAGTTAGGAAATTTTTATTTTCTTGACAAAAATACTTAGAAAGTATTCCTTGCCTGGAGAGTTTTTTTTCCTGAATTTCTCTCTGGCAACTAGTTGTGACTTATACAGTGGCTGGGACATAAGAACAGATATATTTCTCCCAATAACCCGTCGGCTCCTCCTACAAGTTCTTGAAGGAAAAATTAATAAAACTCACTTCTTCAATGGCAATTAGTACTTGAGAAAGCCCTAACCTTGGTATTCTGTATTCCACATATCTTTAGAAGTATTTGAAATTATGTGCTTTATCTTTTGGCGTAGTGATCATAGGAGCCATATTCATCTCTAGCTGATATTTCACGATGAAGTATTCTCGTGTAATATAGGGCAGCCGCGGAGGTGTACAGAACACTTTGCGGTTGTATAGACCTTAAAAGTCTAGCTATCATGTTGTAACTTTGAGTAATGAGGTTCTTCAGTTTTGTCATTTCAGTTGTTTTTATGAAATGCTATGCTAAAGCCCTTAAATGTTTTTAGACTTGATATCCATCAGTTTAAAAGGAATGTCGGTGGAAATTTTCATTTAAAACTTTAGAGAATTTTATAAAACAAAGTATGATACGCCCTCTAAAATATTCTACTCTTGTGTTTACTTACAGGAACGTTTAGTTCTTCATACATAATTCCGTTGTCATCGTCGAGTGAAAAAAACACGCGCCGATGATACCCTTGAAATTACAAAGAAATCATGTATGGAGAACTAAAAATGAGTCTAGTACTCGGCCAGTTAAGGATTGGAATTCAACTGAAATTATTTGATATCGATTTCTCACTGTATCCTTTGTTATTTTGCCAGACTTTGCCAGGGAAACATTGCCTTGGTTCAAAATACGGTTATTAATGTTATTTTCCTTGAGGAAATTAGAACAATACCAGCAGAACGCGTTTTTGGGACGATTCGGGCGAATATATGGACACTAGTTTTTAGAATCATTGCACTTAATTCGTGAAATAGTAAAGCTTCACGTCCATATCAGTAATGTCTACAGTGTTCACACAATATTGCCYGCAAAGCCACTACACTGCGCGTTAATGCGGTAATAATTACCTTATAGGCAATGTGCAGCGACGCCATTTTGTGCAGCAAAGCATGATGGTAAYTCTAGTACTCGTACTTATTATAGACCCTTAAATATCTCCATAAAAGACGTTTGTAYATTTCCTTTTTGGAAACAGCTGGTTATAGGAGGACTTTTTAGCGRTCATAAAAAAGGACTGCAACTACCATCATCCTTTGCTGCACCCTATTGGGATACTTCGATGATTGGCGAATAGAGAATAGCAAATGCATGTTTTAACGGATCWATTTAAGTTTTATTTCGTATACATAAACCGACTCTACTCAAAACATTATATCTCTCCATTTCATATATTACTATTCTAGTCTTGATTAATAAACTCATGAGCCGGTGGAAGGTTAAACCGTGGTAGATTTCCATGCTTAACTTGATAATCGTGTAATAAATACATCGCTCCTTCGCGCGGTTTGACATGCGGCAGCCAACGGACAAAGAAATCCTTCCACTTATTCCTTGCTGGACCGCTGAGATACGCACCGATGGGTAGTCCATCATTCCCGCTAAAGTGAGCAGTCAAACAATCGCAAATGCTGCTTGGGTAGTCATGGCCACCGATGTAAATAATCTGATTACCCTCCCTGATCTCGTATACACCGGGTTGTCGCGTAGTGAACTTCTTCTCTGCCATAAGGAAGCTCCGTAAAGCGCTGTATAATGGTTGCTGGTTCATCTTTTCTCTGAAGGCTTGCATGTTATTGAAGGTGTCTTCTGTCATGAAATGCTCGTAGGCTACCAATTTGTTGGACATGACCTGCACAGAAAGTAAAATCCRTTTTTTCTTTGTCAAAGTCACTTTGGTTCACTGAACAAAATATTGTCCAAAAATCTAGTTTACATAGAMCATATGATAGCATTCTAATAAAAATTTCACATKTGCAATGCGTTTGTAATAACATTTTCCTAGCAGCAAAACGAAAAAAGCTATTTTCCATCAAAAGACCTAGTGCCACCGCACTGCATATAAACTCGGAAATCCATCAAAAGGTACAAATCTACTTTGTAKCCGTAAAACAAAAAGTTTGCATTTTGCATTAATAAAAACTTTGAAATTATGTGATATCTGTTGCTTTACCTTTCCGCGTTTCTTTTTCCTCTTCGTATTTTGACTTWAAAACCGTTTGCTCGGTACGACGACGTTTGCGCGCGCGTTTCGCAAAACGAAAAAACATAAAAGCGCGCGCAATTTAGAAGAGCTGTGAGCGCACGCACATAATCGAAGCTACAGAAGAAGCAAACGTACAAATGATTCAAACGAACCTCAAGAAATTCTCTACAAATAAACGAACTAAGCCGTTATGATCATACTAACATAATAATGTATAAAAAATCGACAAAAAGCAACAAAAATATCAGCGAACTTAACATAATTTGTGCTCAGGTGTTTATTTTGTTTAATCTTTTATTACTGATTTCATGTATTACATGTCAAAGAATATTTATAGCATACTTCAATGAGAGTTCTTCAGCAGTTATAACAATTTCAATTGTTTACAATGTAAGAGAAAATTACGGTAACCTGAAATGAAATGAAATTATGACTTATTTGTTCTGTTTCTTATGAGAACGACCAGATTTACCAGGGCTATTGAACATTTTCTGTTGATTAAAGAGGTAAAAAACAAATAATGACACAATACAAATAATTATAAACCAGTGTCTTTTRAATATGACCATGAATAGGATCGCCATCAGGGATAATCCAACGAATAGCTGAACGCCTGTGTCTTTTCCTTTGTGCTTTGATAATTGTCTTGATGTCTTTTCTGCTGATTTTCCTTTCATCTTTTCAACGAAGTATTTGTCCTTTGTTTGCAGATAATGAAGCGAGATAAGAATGTCCTTTATCTCCGAGAATTCCTTTGCATTTCCGAGTCCCATCTGCGTCAACTCGTGTAGGTGATTAGCAAGCTCTTTCATATGTTTTGCTTTATTGATTTCTTGTGATTGAAGTRCCTTAAAGGTGTCATTATTGGCTGAAGGTACTTGTTTCAGACAGGAAACTTTCTCGTACGATCCAAGACTCTCAGTGGTCAATTTAGCAAGCGTGAGYTTGGCGTCTTGCAAAACTTTAGCAATTTGCTCAGCTTTGATCTTCTTGCGAAGGGTTTCCACAGCAGAAGGATCGTCACTGACGCTGGACTCACTTGACACAGCATTGTTTTTCCAYGAATCAKTTTGATCAAACGATAACTTTCTACGTAATTTCCTTGRAGGYGATTTGCTGGTGTCTTTGGCTGAGTCTTTTCCAGGGCTAGCCTTTGCTCGAGATTTAACTGGTGAAGTAGCTTTCAYTGGTGATCTGCGTCTTGTTGAATCGGTAATACTTTCTTTCTTGGATTGGCTGTCAGCACGTTTGGCCCTTTTTTCCTTTGATGCGGATTTTTTAGGCGTCTTTTGCTTTGTTTCTTTATCAACTTTTACTACCTTTCCTTGTTGACARCATAAAGCAAAAGTAAGAGGTTTGACAAACGTAACTGCATCTGGCTTAAGACCTTTTTTTAGAACTTCAGCGTATGACTTCTTCAAGGATTCAGGAGAATAGTTGTTTGGTGGTGGTTGTGTTCTCATGTGGTAATGACCAGTGACAGCTTTGTCATTTTTTGCACGAGCTTCCATTGCWGAATCCTTAAGTGTTTCTTTGATATCGTCCTTGTCGTCTATGAAGTTAATGTCTTCTATTGTTATGTCCTTTTTCCAGCTATCTGAATCACTATCATCAGTGTCATAGTGTTCAGAACATGCTTCCATTTCACCAGGCTGATCATGAGCTGTAGATGCTGTACTACAAGATACAGCGTTAGGCAAATCATCATTGTCATTRTCAGCTTTAMTGTCTTCTTGTTTCGTGTCAGTAGACGAGAAAGAATCCTTTTCAACAACCTCAAAGTCACTACTTGAATTGTTTGGTGGTTCCTCTTCTGAAACAAGCTCAGTGTTACTTTTCGTTTCCACATTCACGTTTTTGCAGTCCGACTGTGAAGCTTTTCTATTAGGACTCGAATCTAGRGAGGCTTSATTTCCTTCTGGCTGTCTCTGTAGATCCTCGCTGGACGCAGTCTTCTTATCAGCTGAAGGCTCTGCATGTAAACTTTCTCTTGATATTGATTCAGTTGTTGAATGGTCAGTAATATCATCCTCGCTCTCTGCTGAACTGCCGATAATACGGTTGGTAGKAGAAACATTATCGGTTTCAAATATGTCAGTGTTACAGTTTTCGGCGTCGTAGCTTATATCTGAAGATTTTGAGAATTCATCGTCACTTCCATCTCGTTCTAAAGTTTCCGAGCCTAATAAAATATCTGCTAAGCCCACTTTGAGAGCATCAACAAGCTGACTTGGRTGATCAGGAGGGGATCTTATTTCCTGAAGTATTTCTGATGGATCAAAGAATCGTCCCTGTGAAATTTCTCGAAGTTTGGAAATATCATTAATCAAATTACAAACTTGTGTTTCACATTTGGTGTTCGGATGTAGTGATTCCAAACCAACAAATGAATTTGATACTTTTGCAGGGCTTCTTGCGGTTTTCTCGATCGCTCTTCGCATGTTGTCTGTTATGTTTTCCCATTCAAATGTCGTCCACTGRGGRAAGAATGGATTTTCCTCAGATGAGATTTTATCGGGAGGTTCTTTTGGCCGAGACATCTTGCTTCCACTTTACGCGCAGAAAATACCGTTGAACGATGTTCGAAGATTTTTTTGCTGGCTTCGAAAACAAAAAGGAGTGACGAAAAGTCAATTATTACGTAACAAAGCTATCTTTTCGCGCGCTTTGTCCTTGAATTGCGCGCGTGAAAAGTACGTATTCATATKTGTAATGCGCGCGCAAAGAGAGCGCGCATTAGCGTACAGGACTTGTTTTACGCAACATTTTGTTTGCTTGTTTTCCTTCTACTTGTAGAAACTACAAAAGATTTTAATTGGAAATGGTGTCCTCCRTCWCATGTAACTATGTTTAGCTAAATACTTTYGAATGCAGCCTTGTCGCTTGAGCACGACGCTTTTTACGTCAAGCTTCGTAATTCCAGCCTTTTGTCGACGTAATTGTTCTAATTTGYTTCATTTTCTCTAGATTGTTCACTTTGAAGGCAAGGTAAGAACTGATCCCTGCCACTGTACTATAAAATGAATCCAATCATTATTATACCAGTGCTGCAGCCAAAATGATTCAGGGAGCCTCAGGGTCTTTGGCAAAGTCTTGATTATTTGAACACGATTTATTGTCTTATTCCAGCGGGTTTCTATAATACTGATCTACGATTCACAAGACAATGATTGCCAGATCCTGGGTTACGGAGTTCATACAGAGAGCCGACCAAATCTTCGTTACACACTTTAATATACCCGTTTTTCTTTTTCAATTCTTTTTAATGAAAGCCAACAACAAGATTCTCGTTATTTTTTAGATAATTGCTAAATTTTGAATTAATGGCCAAAGAAATTTCTCCAAGTGCTGCGCAGCAAATAGACATCGACTTGGACGAGGAGCACTTCAGAAAAATGGCGCTGTACCGAAGCAAGATGGACGCCCAACCAATTTACAGTGCCTTAAAAAGCTTTAATGTAGAAGAGGCAGTTCGCATGTCTGGAGTTTATGAGATTCACAATCGAGAGAAGGTGATTTACATTGGTGGAAATCCATACTTCAGCAATATAAGAGACTGTCTGAACGCTCACTTTAGTGGAAACGATGGACTGACGATTGGGGMGTATCTCAGCGGCCCTGGAAAGAACCAATGGCAAGACATTACTGTGCGCTGGATGCCTTGCAACAATYCTCACGAAGTGGCATTTTATTTATTAGAAGAATATCGTGGTAGGAATGGATTTTTACCGATATATAACAACCCTCCAGCCACACCTATCCCTCCTCCACASGTCTATAGTGACTCTGATTCAGACGAATAAATATGATACTGCTTTTTTTAAATGAACATTTTTAAAAGACAATGTAGTTGTTTTTGTAATATAAAATGATGATTTTGTGTCAATTAAAGACATTTGAAAACATTTTTTTTGCCTCTATTTCAATTTTTAGCGCGCAATGCGCAAGCATATATTTCAGAGTAAAACCGCTGAGGTTATCGGAGGCTCAAAAATATTGAGCGCCATTTTTCGTAAAGTATTTATCGAACTTTGAAAWGAGGAAATAAGGGATTTCTTCCTTAAGATGATCGTTCTTTGAAGTATATCTGTTCAGGGATTTAAGCCAGGATAATAGTTTCTGTATCGTGTACTTGAATTGGGTTTACAATGGATAGGTACGTTCGTGTAAGGAAAATTGGCGAAGGCTCGTTCGGAAAAGCACTGCTTGTCAAGAAGAAGAATGATGGCAAGCACTACGTTATCAAGGAAATCAACATTTCAAGGGTAAGTCTTGCTATATAGYATGTCAAATATATATCAAAAACGTTAAATAGATTGTTTGTTATAGATGAAGCCGAGAGAACGAGAAGATTCTAAGAAGGAGGTAAGAATTGCAAATGAAAGATTCATTGATTACAACGGTTTCCAAGTTACCAGACGCTTTGCCTCCAGCAGCAAAGTCTTCCGGCTGAATATTATTATTATTATTATTATGCACCATGTATGGATCACCAAAAGTTCTTGAAATTCACAGAATATTTTAGCACGAATGATAGGTATAGATCTTTCGGATCGTACATGTATTTAAACAAAATTGTTATTGTACATAACAAGGCGCGTGCATGTTTTTCGAATTTGTTTTGCGAGTTGGCTTTACAACCATCTTAATTTTATCGTTTTGCAGATTTTGTAAAATCCTCGATTTGCGGCAATTAAGCTCATGTAAAGGGATAGCAATGGATTGTTTTGTGGGATCTGAAGATAACTTTACGTTCAATTATTTAACGAAATGTCTTGTTTAGAAAATGTTATTTTATTGATGTCTGCATGTTGCAAGGACTTAGCGGTATACAAGTAGATAAATTCCTTGAAAAATTTAATGGATTATAACTTTATCTACTGTTATTAATTCCATGCAGTTGGTTGATTACAAAATGACACTGTCTCTTTTATTTACGTAATGTCTAGGTAAAGGTGCTTTCACAGTTGAAACATCCAAATATCGTGTCATACAAGGAATCATTTGAAGGTAAAAATTATACAASTAGAGCAAAAACTCCAAGAATCAAAACTTCCCAGAATTATTGAAGTTTTGATTGTACGTGACAGAAATGTTTGGACTACAGTTTATTTCTGTGAATAAAGTACCTCTTATAATGTCATGTTATTGTTAATTATATAAATAACATGAGTTTTGTCTGGATGTCTAATTTCTACAACTACTTGACGTGTCATTCGCGATTAATAG